CTTCCTTTGCAACAGTCTAGTGGGATTAGACATTACTTTTTTCAGTTGGTTCCAGAAATTGGTCAACTGTTTTGATATCTCTCTGAGGAGTTATCCTTTGTTGCTTATGGAAGAGATACTTCCTAAGGCTTCAATTTCCTGGACTTCAATTACCAATGAAGTCTCTTTTGGAAAGGTTAAAACAGGTATCAAGGGCTCCACTATCATGATTTTTTTATTCATGTACATAGTGTTTCATGCCTCAGTGGATAAAAAGAGAAATTATGAAAGGTGGAAGAGGGAGATTTTAAACAGATCTAAGGCAAAGGATGGGGTTGAATATCAATGGAGAGCCTGTATAGCGAGATGTTTCTTATTCCAGAAAGTTGATAGAATAGAACATCATCACTCTCACCTATCCCAGAATTCTCTAGCCTTCAAATTCCTGGGCACTTTGTTAATAATAGTAATTAAGATTCACATAATGAAAAAATTATAATAGCTGGAGCAAACATTTTATCTAAGTGCTGGACATTGTATGAGGCATTTTACATACATTATTTCATTTAATCTTTGCAATAACCTAAGAGATCAATTTTATTATTATACTAATGTTGCCTAAAGAGGGTTAATAATTTGCCAAAATACCAAAGCTAACAACTGGCACTGCAAGGATATGAATTTGGGTCAGTTAGAATCCAAAGTTTATGCTCTTACTGTGCTGTGCTGACTTCTTGATGCCTGTAAGATGTGCACAGTGAAAGTAGTTATGCATTCTAGAGCAGGTCATGCATAGTAAGGCACCACTGATGGTGACGGCATCCTCTTTTGTTGACACCATTGTCTTTCTTTAATACGCTTTCTCCAACATCCTTATGTACTAGATCTGAGACACAGTGAAAGCATTTCTTTGTGCTTCTTTCAAATTTGCCAGTCTATAATGTTTCCTTAAGTGACCATCTATAATCCTTTTCCTTATGGAAATAAATCCACTCTCCATATGACAGTTGGGCAAGTGACCCAGGTCCACCCTCAGGGACAGGTCCAGACTTGGGCACATGATTTAGCTGGGCCAGTCAGAGTCATTCTCTGAGATCCTTCCAGCTGGATATGGAAGGATGACTCATCAGTTACCCCAGACAAAAAAAAAAACATCACCTTTTTTTTGGTCTAATTTTGTGTTGAGCTTCTGAAAAAATCCTGATTAATATAACCTTTCCTTAACTCTTCTCAGTTTTTGTTTTATTGTAGGCATCACTGCACTTCAGCAATAGGAGAGTTTGGTTTTATACAAACAAAAACCAAGAAGTTCATTTGAGAGTAAGAGAAAAATGAGATCAAGATGGGGTGTGCGTACTGATAAGGAGACATCCTCATGTTTGAGGACATAGTGTTGGCGTGTTGGAGGACATAGTTCCAAAGGATGTTATAATATTTCTTCTCAAAGTATTTGTTTAAATATGGTAAGAAAATTCACAAGGAGGAGGTACTAGAGAAGATGCTGTCCTGCCTAAATGTAGGAGAGTCCTGAGGATTTTCTGGATTTACTCTCTCCTGTTTTGTGCCAAATTTGAGGACACATCATATTTCAGGCTTTATAAAATATTTCTCCTCTGGTGCTTCTCTTTGTGTAAATTTTCTAAATTGGGTATGCATGTTTTTCTAGCAGAACCTTTCTCCATTGTGTACAGCTTTTTCCCCCCTGGGGATGTATAAGAAAAAAATGCATCAGCTTGTTTTTCTATCTAAATGGAGGTTTGTGCTAAGCACAAAAATCTAGCTACAAATAAATTATGCTCTGATCTTGAAGGATAAAATAAACACAAAGCGATGCAGAGCTGTATTTTGCCTGAGCCAAATGGAACATGACGTTCAGAAGTTCCCAACTGAGTTCCAAAATTAGAATAAATCTTGGCAAAACGTATACTCATGTTCTATTAGGAATCTTATCATTTGAACTCAGTGCTGGCTACTCTATGCCTCACTCATTCCAGTAGCTCCCAAGAGGCCTGAGGACCCGGCTGCATGTGTTCTGGAACTCCCTAGGCCTGCTGGCTTTAACTTTGCCTCAGTTAGGATGGAAATAGGGCATCAAACCCTTAACCAGTGATCTCAGACTTGAGCACTCATTTCCAGCCCGATTTCTTCAAGGAAGCCTAGCTGTTGCCACAGAGTTGTGCACTGAGTAGGTATCACTCCCTGGTTTCATAGCTGTAGCCCTCTCAGAAGCACTTGGTGGTAGGTGCTGGATGTAAGCCCTTGAGCTGGGTTGTGAGCTCTGGGTTACTATGAAAGTGTCTCTGGATTATACATTCTGTAAGACGTAGTTCATTTCTTGATTAGAGGCCTTCTTGGATAGGTTCAAGTGTGACAGTGTGGAAGTGCCTATCAGGAAGTTCTTAATTAAAGATAGCCACCTGGTTGCCAGTTAGGGTCAGGCAAGGGTAAATACTGGCTGAGTTATCTTCCAGGGGCCAGGATGCCAAACTTCATCACCAAAATGGACTTGGAGATCTTCCTTCTTTCATTCATAGGGCCTCTCAGTTCAGGACTTCATTTTATCTCCCACTGCTCATGAATCAGAGCGCAGACACCTTCATCAAACAGGGTCCTTTTAGCCCCTTAACATCCTGTGCTCATTCTAACCTCAGGACCTTGGCTCTTCCCAGTGTCCCTCTTGGAATGCTGCCTCCTAGTGAACTCTACAAATGCCATTCATCTCTCAAGCCCATCTGACATCTTCTTATATCCTGTCTAAGGCATCCCTGCCAACAATTTCAGCCCACTTTGCTTGCTTGTCTCGCTCATTTTTCATTGCCTATGTCACACAATTACTACTTCATTAATATTCAGTTTTTTTTTCTCCTGAAATTGTGTCTCACAATTGCACCAAAACATTTTGAATTCAGGGCACATATTTTACACTTTCTCTTTTATATCACTTGTCATTTGAAAGATAGGTACCTGGAATTTGCTCAGACCTGAATGTAAATCTAAGCAAAGATGAGCAAAGTCTTTAGACTACATACACAGACCATTGTTGAGAAAAGGAAGACCAAATAAATGAAGTAGAGCTCATGCTCATGGATTGGAAGACTCAATATTATAATGCAGAATATTTTCATGAGCATGGGAAAGGCAAAGATTTCATAAATAGCATTTATGAATTTTATGATGTATTAAACATAAAATTGATAAATTTGAGGACATTAAAAATGAGAACTCCTGTTTGTTCAGAAATACCATTGAAAGAGAAAAATGAAGCCCTGGACTGGAAAAAAAATCAGCAAATTACATATCTGACAAAGGACTTGTATCTGAACTATATAAAGATCTAAAAATTAGTAAGAAAAAGAGACATCTCAACAGAAAAATGTGCAGATTTGAAGAGGTAGTTTACTAAAAAGGACATCTAAACAACCAATAAACATGGGAAGATGCTTATCTTAATTAGTCATCAGGAAAATTCAAATTAAACTCATGAGCTTCAAAAACACAGCCACAAGAATAGCCAAAATGAGAAGGACATTCGACAATAAGGGTTGGAGACAATTTGGAATATTTGGAACTTTTGCATGCTATTATTATACAGTGTTAGTACATAGTTGATACAATCACTTTTCAAATTTATTTAGCAGGATCTACTAAATCTGAACATATGTATACCATATGAGTTAGTGTTTCCAGTCCTAGATAAATATGAGTAATATGCTCATCAAAAGACACGCAGGAAGAATATTCATAGTGGCACTGTGCATAATGACCCAAAAGTGGAAACAACCCAAATGTTCATCAACAGTAGGATGGATACATGTGATAAATCCCTGCAAAGAAATTCTTTCAGCAACTAGAATAGGCAAACTATTTCTACATGCAAAAATCTGATAAATCTCACAGATATATTATTGAGCAAAAGAAGTCAGACACAAAGAGTATTATTGTACAATTCCATTTCTTTAAAGCTCAGAAAGAGCCAAAACTAAAGTGTGGTAACCAAGAGGGCTTTCAGGATGTAATAATGTTCTTTTCTTGATCTGGGTGGCTGTTCTAAAAGTTTGTTCATTTTGTTCAAATTCATTGAACTGTACACTTATGATTAGTGATTTTTTCCGTATGTAAGAAGGATTTATGTTTAAAAGCAAAAGGTTTTGTCCTTGGAGGATGAATTGTCATTCAGCAGAGATTTTTGCCCATTGCTCATAAGTTCAGGAAAATGAGGAAAGGATGGTTGTACACATAGGCCCATAAACCTTATTTCAAACCTCATCTTGGCCTTGAAAAGTATAAAACGCTGGGTCGAACTATTTAGCTCCTCCCGCCTCCAACAAATTTACTCATAAAACTATCTTACTATCACTTTGTTTTGCTTTCAACAAGGAACACTTTATTAATAATGCTCCTGTCCTCAGTATCTCCCCATTGTTGCTCATTTCCCGGCTTAGAATTGCCTGTTTCGCTCAGGACCCTGATCTTATTGAATATTGCATTGTAATTGTGTGTATTCTTTTCTTATTCCACCACCCCCACCTCCCGAGGGCAAAGTAGCCTTGTGCTGCTCAGATCAGTACATAGGAGATGCTCAAGGGCTTGATTTTTTTAAAAACATCATTTCATTGGATTAAAGGGGAGGCTTGGGGTCACACGCTCAGTGGGTAGCTTCAGCCACCCCCGGCCGTGCCTTGGACCCTCCTCCTGGCACATCGGGTATAAGTCCACTGTTCCCACCGAACCCAGCTGGGCGCTGAGGCATCTTTGCTCATGTCCACACGACCACAGGATTGACTTTCCAGGGACGTTGGGCACTCACAAGAACACTCTTGAATGTTGGAGGCAGATTGGAAAACACATTCTCCTGTTTCTGTGTAAATTCTATCAATTAACTAAAGGTAAAGAAACATTGAATTCGGGCTCTAGCGATCTGTATTTAGAACGTTTCTACTTCAGCAGTTACTACCCCTGGAGCTCTGGGAGTGGTGGAGGTGCAGGGCCCTTTTCACCTGTTTCCTTATCTTTCCCCACAGGACAGTAATGGACCCCGCAGGATTTGGGGAGAGGAGTCATGCATGCACACATGCCTCAAAACACTCCATGTGCCGGCCTCTCCATCAGTTCTGGGGACTCATAAAGGTTCACAGTCCAGCTCGTGAGAAAGGTATATGAACATATCACTTCAGTATTTCTCAACCTGTTTATCATTATTGGCCTCAGAGGAGATTTCTAAGACATTTTTTCCTAATTTCGCTCCCCACTCCATGGAATTTTAATACCACAGATATACATGTATATGAATTTTCTGCATATCTGTGCTTTATATAAAAAGAGTAAGATTCTTTCCAACCACTGCCTCCAAGAACTATTTCTCACCCCCTTGGGGGAGATACCCATCCATTAAAAATGAAGGAACAAATGCTTACAGAGGCGTGAGGAGAGTGCCAGAGGAGGAGGAGGCACAGGCCGTGAGTCACTCCACCACCGTGGGAGGAAGAGACCACCTGTGTCAGGAAGACTTAGGGGCAGGAAGGGGGACGCTGGAGGTCCAAAGGATGAATCAGGGCTGCCTGGCAGCCACAGGGAGGGGGAGCGCCTGTGGGAAGGCACGAGGGGGTGTGAGGCAGTGTGCCCGCTCTGCATGGGTGTAGATGGGGAGGCCCTGGGCAGGAGCTGGCTGGGGCTACACTGGAGGGACGTTGTGTGCTGAGCCTGAGAGCGGACCTTACCCCAAGGACATGGCAACACAGAAAGTCTTTAAGAAGGGGAGAGACTTGAGCAGACTTACACATTTGCAAGGTCATTCAGGCTTCTGTGCAGATGAGGCAGGGAAATTAGGTCAGAAACTGTTCCAGAAGTTCAAGCAGAAATCCTGAGGACTTGAATGAGAGCAGGCACCTGTGAGGACAAGAGGAGCGGGAGAGATTCTGGAGACAGGATTAAGTGAACCAGTTTACATGACAGCACCTGGCATGCGATTGTTCACTGGTAAAAGAGCTTATTACTAAAACCCAGCATCTGGGGCCTTCTGGGAGCTTGGCACTGCAGAAGCTTCCCGGAGGCCTCAGAATCAGATTGCTGAAATCTCAGGGGCTTGAGGTCTGATATCTGTTTAACCAGTGTTTTTCTTTGAGGTGAAACTGGGCAGGGTAAACCTAGTCAGAGGGCTTTGAGGGGACAGCACAGGCTGTGACTTGGCTTGGCTCCAACTACTGTCTGAATGGCTCCCTGAATCATGTATAATGACAGGACTGTGCAGGCCATGGGCATTCTTACAGCAGGGTTTTTTTTGCACTGACTTCAAATGCTTCCTTGCCTCTTGGCTCCAGCCAGTTGCAATCCACTGGCTACATCCATTGTGGCACTTGCTCTGCTACCAAGACCTTTAAGCGATGCCCACATGCTCCTGTTGGTGAGTCTACTTCCCAGTAAATCAGACTGCTTATGGATTTCCTGCATAAAGTTCCTCATCTCCCATCTGTTAGTAGCCTTTAGGATTAGGAAGAAACTGTAGGAGGGTAGCAGTAATGTCACAGGCAGGGAAGACGAGGCACGTCCTGTCTGAGTGAGTTTTCTGTTCAGTGGAGGGGCAGAGGTCTGGCTCCTGGCAGTGGACACAATGCTGGACATTTCCGGAAGCCAGAAGAGACTCCAGGGAGGTGGCCGGGAGGGCAGCAGCCGCCAAGTGGTGCTGCTTTGTCTGGCTGTGCTGGGGAGCCGGCCGTGGCCGCCCCAGAGAGCTGCCTGGCAAGGCCTTGGCCTGTGCAGGGGAGAGTCTGTCCATCCTTGGGCCCCTGTGATGTGTGCTAACGCCCATTCCCTTCAACTTTATGTGTTTAATAAGATGGTGCTGAAGTAAAGGTTAGCACTTGTTTGCTTATTCTGAATCAAATCCACCCACTGGGGCCGCATCCCCAAACACTCTTCTGACAGCATATCCTGAAGAGTCCCCTTCAAAGGTTCCAGAAGTCCACCAGAGTGGCGGCAAGAATCAGGAATTTCTGGAGCTTCCCCCATCCCGCCCCGCCCCCTCCCCCCACCACCATCCCTTTACCTTTCCTTCTCTTTGGCTTCCCCTGTCTCAGCTTTATTCGGCTTCTCCACACAGGCACTCTGCCCGGCCTATCCCCCGCTGGGCTGACAGCTGGGTCTCAGACTGTTTACCCTGGCCCTGACATTGCAAGCCTTTAGAACACTGCCCTTCATGGATTTGCAGTGAAACGCTGGCAAAGGGCCCTGGCCCTGTGCATGCCCAGGGTGTAAAACCTGGATACATCTGGGCCCACAGAACCGTCCAAATTCTGCTTATTTGTTAGGAGAAGGTGGAAGCAACACTATTAAGAGAGAGGCAGAGCTGGAGATGATTAAGGAGCTTGCTTGGGGCCCCGAAAGGCTCCACAGGCCAGAGCTTCTGACCTGGCTCAAGTTCCATCCCAGTCAGGGACCCCTTAACTATTGAAGGGCTATATCCAGAGAGTGCTGACTCATGCATTTGGTATCTGAAGGGAGGTCTCCAGTGGTGTGCCACAGTCCTTGACACAGTCACTGTGTAAAAATTAGTCGGATTAGGAGTTTGGGAACATGTCAAATAAACACCGAGGGAATGCAAAGTTGGGAGTGGATGGGACAGACTCAGGATTAGAGCGACTTTGAGAGGCTGAGCAGTGCTGTCACATTCAGGGGAGAATAAGAAACATTAATGAGAAGTAGGAATGGTTTCTTATTAACTGTACAGTGTAACACAGAGGATGTGTGGCATGTCATCTGAATTGGAGGAAACTTTAGAATTTCAGTGGGCAATAAAATCAAAGGACTATAAAGCACAAGATCCCACACTTCAAGTTTCACATAACTGAAACTGAGTGTGTCAAATGTGTCCCTCCCTTGGTGACCCCAGTTACTGTTGATTAGAGCTATTAGCCTCCCAGAATTATCCATATATGGTTACAATCTGTAGCTAACTATTTAATAAACAGATATGTGGTACCTAATTCCATAATGTGGTTTAGTGAATTATTCCATTAGTTATTTCATTCTTTCAACAACTATTTATCAAGCACATAGTAAGTACCATACATTTTGCTAGGTGCTAGAAATACAGCAGTAAAGGAGCTAGACATACTCTCTGCCCTCCTAAAGCTTGTTTATCAGGATAGACAGGTTATTAAAATAGTAAACACACACATAATTATTCAAAATTATAATCCTCATTAACTTTATGAAAGTACATGTTTCTAGACAGATTATAGTGGGGAGATAGGGCTGGCTTGGGGAGGAAGATTCAGAGAATGTTCCTTGAGAAAGTGAATTTTGAGCTTACTTAGGGTTATATGGCTATTTCCTCCAATATGGTATCCAGTAGCCACATGTGGGTATTTAAATTAAAATGGATTAAAATGAAATGAAGTTAGTTCAGTTTCTGAGTTGCATTAGCTACATTCCAGTGCTCAATAGCCACCTTCAGCAAGTGGCCACCATATCATACAACACACATAAGGAATGTTTTGATCATTGCAGAAAGTTCTATTGGGCAGTTCTGTTACATAGGATTCACCTAGCTGGAAAGGACCCTGGCAGAGGGGAGGAGAAAAGGAAATATTTTGAGCTGAAAAAAGATTCTTCTTAATTCAGAGAAACTTAACTATAATCTAAGAAAAAAGCAGTTTTTATTTTCCATTGATGGTGATGTTGGATGATGGATTTTGGTGAAGGATCAGAGGTGTCCCCTCCTCCTGTTTTCTAACTCAGGCTCAGAAAGATAGAACGCAGCCAGCCACCCAGTGCTCATTCCCACGTGGGCCTCCTGTTCTGGACCCTTGCCTTGGTTCCTGTGTATGTGAAACAGTTACTGACCAAGATAGCATAAAGAGACTGCTGTTGTGCTTGGACTGTTCAGTAAAATATAACATGAGGGACACAGAATAGGACAATTGACAATGCATTTCAGATTGTATGGTCAAAGCACACACAGCCGAGTGTTGGCAGTTGCCACCCTCTGAATTGCCCGCCGTGGGCAGCAGCCCTTGTCCTCAGTGCATGGGGTAAGTGCTGGTGCTCTTGAGGGGTCTGTCCTGGACCCCATTCTCTATATGTTCCCCTGGGCGTGACCCTTCTCTCACTGAAGTGGTGAACCCTCCGTATGCTGACACTTTCCACATCTGCATTTCCAGCCCCAGACCTCTCCCCGTGCTTCTGACTAAATTGAAATGCCTGCTAATAATCTCCAGTGAGCTGTTCCACAGACACTTCAAACTCATCCTTACGGTGCCCACCCACGTTGCACCTCCTCCTTAGCTCTGTACTTCAGCAATGGCAACAGTGTCCAGAGCAGAAGTTTGAGCACCATCCTTGACTTCCACACTGATGTCCCATCAGTCACCAAGTTCTGTTCATTCTGCCTCCCAAATAATCTCTTGAATTTATTGACTCCTCTCTCTTCCTTTCTGCACTGTCCTAGTTAATCATGCATTGCCTGAATTATGTAGTTATTTCCTAACCAGTCTCCTTGGTCCAAGCTGGCCCTCCTCCAAGCCATGCTCCATATGACAGTCACTGCAGTCTTTCAAAATCTGATACTGTCCTTCCATTGCTTAAAAACTCTTCAGTGCCTCTCCATTACATTGGTCCAGATGATTTTCCACAGTTACAAGGCCCATCTTTATTTGGCTCTGTTAACTTCTCCAGTTGTTTCTTTTACCCCTTTTCCCTGATACGTTATTCTGCAAACATACTTAGCTTCATTTCTTCCAGGAACCCAGCATGCTTAACTCTGTATTGGGATCTTTGCACGTACTATATACAGAAACACTTTCACCACCACCATCTCCCTTTTCCCCCCTCTTTTCCTCAGTTATTCAGTTTAAATGTTATTTTTTTTCAAGGAGACTTTCTCCAATTCCTCAGTGCAGTGTTAGCAGCTCCTGTCCTATACCCTCTGAGGTGGGTTGAACGATGCCACCTCCCTCCCCCCAAAACATATGTCCACATCCTAATTCCAGAACCTGTGAATGTTGCCTTAGTTGGAAAAAGGGTCTTTATAGATATAATTAAATTTTGAGAAGAGTTCATAATGGGTTATCCAGGTGGGTCCTAAATGAAATGACAAGTGTTTTCGTAAGAGACACAGAGAAAAGAGGTAAAGGATGTGTGAAGAATGGAGAGCTGCAGCCCCAAGACAAGAGAGGTTGGATCCATCAGAGTAGGAATTAGCCAGGAAGGATTCTCCTCTGGAGCCTCCAGAGGAAGGGTGGGCCTGTTGATACCTCGATTTCAGACTTATATTGTCCTAAACTGTAAGACAATAAATCTCTGCTGTTATAAGTCATCATGTTTGCAGTACTTTGTTACAGCAGCCACAGGAAACTATGCATCCCTCCCTTCTTCCATGATACTTTTGTCACAGTGCTTCCAAGGAGCCTCTTTACCTGTCTGCCTTCTTAACTTGAAGTAAGCTTCATGAGGGCAGGAGTATGAATCTCCAACACTGGCTCAGTACCTGGTATGGATTTAGCCATCAGTAATCATCTGATATACAAAGAGGCATTGCTGGCTGGTATACACAGGATAAACTTTGTGGAGGAGATGGGCTTGAGCTGGTCTAATAAAGTGGGCAGGATCTGGGTAATGTTGAGAAGGGAGAAATTATTCACAGCAACAGGAACTGCATTAAAGAGTGTCTAGAGATGAGAAAGTGAGTAGTATGTGGACTCAAGAGCTCAACCTGGCTACAGGATGGGGTTCCTAACATAAAGCTGGGTGAGCACTAATGTAAAATAATAGAATCTTTTCCTGCAGGCCAGACCTTCCCTAGCAGGTATACTCAGCATCTTTGTGTGCTGCAAAAGGGTCTCTATTTGACATGACTTCTGTTCTCCCTAGAATGGATGGGTGGGTTGGAGTTTCAAAGAAGTCCTTTACAGCATACATACATTATGTCCTTTGAGAGCCATGATCAAAGAAGGCTGGGAAATACTGCTAAGGTTAGGAGTCATTAAAGCTTCTTGAAATAAAACATGAATAGGGCCAGTTATATAATTGGTGGGCCCCAATCCAAAATAAAAATATGGGCCTCCGGTTCAAAAATCATTACAAGATGACATTAGCAGAACATTAGACCAAGCATGAGCCCTTCTGAGCACAGGTCTCACATACAACCTTGACCATGAAAGAAAGATTTGCTACACATTGACACAAAATCATTGTGTGAAATGGGTTGAGTAGATAGGGATATGTCCAGGGGAGGAGGTAAGAGGCTATTGCAAGAGTCCAAGAAGGTGGAGATGAGATCCCGGGCTAGTGATTTCATGGGAGAGAGAAGGGAGGAGAGAGTCAAATCTAAGAGATGATGCGTGTTTACAGTCAGGGATGCTTCCAAGTCTTCTGGACTTGGGAGTGGAGAGGCATCAGGGAGCCTGTGAGGAATCGAGGAATCAGTGTGTCCTTGACTCTGTACTGTGAGCTGTATCAGGCAGGAATGATTAGAATTCAGCCTAGAATGTGAATACAGGCATTTTATTCCACAAAGGAACCACACACAGGTATCAGCCTGTTGCCTAATAACTTCGGGATGGAAAAGGATGTGGGAGAAAGGACGCAATGCTTCCGGGGTCCGGAATGAGGAGTGGTGGGAACCTTTCGTCAGTGACAGCCACTGGCCGCCTCTGCTATACACGGATACGCAGGAACCCAGGGAACGAGTGGCCAGAGCTGCAGATTCTTAAAGAGAAGGCAGAAATCCAGAATTGTGAAATCTTTCCCAATTTTTAAGTGTTGACAACTAAGTTAAGTATTTTTTATAAATACTTAAGCCAAACCAAACACACACCCGTAGGCCAGATCTGGCTCGTGGGGCTCAGCTTGCAGCCTCCATATAGGGCATGGTGGGTAAGAGCTCACTCTGCGCTTCAATGCTGTCTCTGTCACTTGAATGGCAGAGCCTTGCTTTTCTAAATAATGGTGACAATTTTAGAATGTATCTCTCAGGGTAGTGGTGAAGATTAAATGACATCTTTTAGGTTAAGCAGAGATGACAGTAACTGGTATGTAGGAACTAATAAATGTTACCAGGTACTGTTCAGCATCTATTACGTGTCAGGTTCTGTGCTGGGTACTTTATGTATTGTTGTATTTTACCCTCACAACCACACTGTCAGATAGGCTTTATTACAGTGTCCCCATTTCCCAGAGGCCAGGTGGAAAGAGAGGCACAGATACATGAAGTGCCTCAAATCATAGACTCCAAATCAAATCTCATTACTTCTGCCTCCAAAGGTATGGCTTTTTAAACAGTCTTTCTTTTCCTGAATGGACTCCTGTGTTTTATTTTGGAAGTTTCTGGAAAGAATGTTCTACCAATAGTACTTTTCAAAGACAATTTTAATAACAAATTCCAGAAAAGGAAAAAAAATCCCCCCAACTCTCTCTTTTTCTCTCTCCCACACACATACATGCTCAAAACAAAAGTAGTGAAAGCTGTCTGTGTATTTCCCTTGTCCAATGGACTCTTAAGTAACATTGTCTGGGGAGATACATTATTCTTTATATTCTCCCAGTTGCTCAGGATGACCACTACATCCCTGTTTTGTCTCTGAGGGAAGCAGTTGAGAGAGTAATGCCTAAGGGATCTATGTACACGCCCGCCCTAAGGCAAGAGATTGAGAGGTGAGACCCTAATGCCTTTATTAAGTAGACAAACTCCCTCGGGTCCACTCAGCAATGGTGACAGGTGTCAGAGCCAAGCCCCAGTCTTTAGGCCTCTGTGCCCTGGAAGGCAATTAGGTATTTGCTCAGTGGCCATGTATACCCTCCAGTCTTGCAAATGGATCATTCCATGTCCCCCTTCTCCTCAGAGGCTTTCCATGCTGGAGCTGTCTACCCAGGATCTTCCAGTAATCAGAATATTTTTTCTTAAAAAAAGAAAATGAAAGAAAAGGAAATATCTGAATTATTTGTAGATATGAAAGTAGCAGGAATATCAACTTGTTTCTATGACAAATTTGGGGGTATTTGCATTGGGAGTAGAATTGGGGTAAAGGTGGGGTAGGTCCCAGCTGGGCAAATCAGTGATGAAATTCATGGCAAACAGCTTTGATTCTTTTGATTATAGCCATGCCTGTAGGGATGAGAGCAGGATGTTCTCAAAAACAGCCTTGACAATAACATGATTTGTTTCTCTTCCAAAGCCGAAAATGGCATCTCAGCCTGCCAAGGGGAGCTTTCTTCTGCACCTGTGGGATGGGAGAGCTGATCTTGTCCTCCAGACTAGGCAATGAAGGCATTAAGCAGTGTGGCCCCAGATAGACATGTCATCTGGACGTAACACTTGCCCGAACAATACGTATTTTATTTTGTTTTGGAGGAAATTCTCTTCAGTCTTTTCATGGGTAGGATTTCAGACTAGGATGTTCCCCTTTCCCCACCATCAGATTGAAACTGAATATGCGTCAGTCCAAGGGGTATAATACCAGGGTGATTTGTCATTCACAGCAGAAACTGAGTTCTCAGGTTTGACACAAGCCAGCTGATATTTTGAGGTTCTGGGCTGATACCCACATACACGGCTTTCTTTTTCTTCTGTTTTTCTGGATTCTTTCAGAGAACTGGGAGGATGGAAAGTAAGCCTCAGTGGTTTCTCAATGAGTGAAACAGAAAGCTAAGAGGCATTTATGCCATTAAGAAAAATAATGGTTGCAGTTAGCTAGCGGTTAATAATGATTCTAAGTGATTGCAAATTGAGTTGCACAGATACCACAGACAGTAATACGTGAGGGTTCCCATACTTTCTCGTCAGTGAAAAGCACAGATTAAGCTCAGCTCTGGCCAGTGCAGTTCTCCAGTGCTGCAGGGAAACAGTGAGTCACCAAAGAAGTGATCCTGGCCCCCCCAAAATTACAGTAGCATGGAACAGCTGGGTGCCGATAGTCACACATGCACACTCTCTGAAAGATAGGCACTGGCTCCAGCGTGTGTGGTGCAAGTTCATTTCTAAATCAATGACTTGAATTCAGATTGTATTTGCCAATATAAATTGTACATTAAAGGCAAGTAAGTTTTCTGGCTGGCAAATCATTATCCATTTGCTTCTTCAGAAAACTGGAAGAGAACCTTGTAGGGGTATCCACATGAAAGTTTCCTAGAATTTCCCTGGACAGCTTTTTCTGCTACTCTATAAATTACCTTGTATCCAAATAATTCCACACCTATTTCTCAGCCTGTATATAAATAATTTACATTCAGTGTACTTGTACTTGTTTATTCTTTCATACATGCTGCCTAACAGATCCAGACTGAATGCTTACTGAGTGCCAACTATGTGATAGTGCACATATTAGGTGCTTTCTCATACCCCATCTCCTTATCTTCACCAGAACTCCATGAAGGACACATAATTTATTTTTATTGTTGTTCCCATTTTTCAGATGTGGAAATCGAGCTTCAAAGAGTCCCTGCCGGTTGAGGGACTGATTCATCAAGAAGGTGTTTCTTAAGACCCTGAGACTAAAAAGTGCCATTACTAAGATTTAAACACCTTACCAGAGATGAACTGCTCCCTGAATGCCCTGCGGACCTCCTGCTTGCCCATCTCCACCCAGGTCACCTACCACTCACTGCTCTTGTGCATATCTGGTACCATCTCCCCAATCACACTGGAGCCTTCTGTTTTGAGTCACGTTACTACTACAGAGAATGAAGGGCAGGGTGGGGGTAAAGCAGGAAGGGTGAGATGCTTGCATGTTTTGTTCAGGTCCTGTCAGTTATTTTTAAAAAATAAAACAAAGTTTTGCTTCCAGGGAGATGGAGTAGATGTATTTTTCCCTATTTCCTCACTAAGGACCACTAAACTCCCTGGACATGATATCTAAAACAAACATTAGATGGTTCTGAAGGATGGAGAGAGCAGGCAGACCAGCTAGGCAGCTCAGGACCCGAGAAGTGACATGGACATGAGTTGCCGATTTTCTTTTCACCTCATATAGTCCAGACTTGAAGCGGAAGAAGCCAGCAACCCAGAAAGGTCAACAGGAATAAAAACAAGAAAGTCCTAAGAACAGCCTGCTTTCTCTAGACAAAGAGGAGAGCAGCAGTCTAGAAAGACAGAAAACTTTTAGACAATAACTGCTATTTCAGCCGAACACCACAGAAAAATCTGGGGTCACAGTCCCAGCCACAGCAGTGAAGAGCAAGCGGATGCTTATACTTGTGCCCTTGTGAGGCTGTGTCAAGGTGGCCCCCGCCGGGGTTCGGTTCAGAGAGGCTCGAGTCGGGGGCCAGGCCTTGCACCTTCACGGGCCTGCGTACATGTCCCCCCATTCCCACCCGGAGGTCAGAGGGCATTACCTGGGAGGCAGGAACCTCCATTCTCTCCCAGCAGCAACAGGAGCCAAGTGGAGAACCCGATTTCTACTTCCACCTGGCAGTAACAAGTTGTCCCCCCACCTGTCTCCTTCCAGAGCTATTTCAGAAAAAGCCACTGAAAAATAGAAGATTTAAATAAAACACAGAGTCTCATATTTTGATACGCAGTTTTCTTTCTATTGGTTTCCTGTGGCTGCTGCAACATATCACCACCAACTGGGTGGCTTAAAGTGACAGAAACGTGTTCTCTCACATTTCTGAAGGACAGAGCCTGGAATGCAGGTGCTGGGGGCCACTCTCCCTCTGGAGGCGTTAGGGGGTAATCTGTTCTTTGCCTTTTCCAGTGTCCCCCATGGCAACTGGCATTTTTTTGACTTGTGGCCACTTCAATCTCTGCCTCTGAGGTTAGACTGTACTCTTTTTTTCTACCAATCTCCTCTGTGAGTCTCTTATGAGGACACTTGCCATTGAATTTAGGTCCCACCTGCATAATCCAGGATGACCTCATCTTGGGATCCTTAACTTTGTTACATCTGAAAAGGCCCTTTGTCCAAATAGGGTCCCATTGACTCACTCCAGGGATCATGACATGGGCGTATTTTGGAGGACCAATCAAATTTCAAGGCATATTATATACACCAAGATCCTGTGATATTGTTGGAGGGATAGACACATGGATCAAAGCAACAGATCAGAGAACTTAGAAATGAACTCAAGCAAATATGAGAATCTAGAAATGGACTCAAGCAAATATGCCCTATTGGTTTTTGGCAAAAAGTGAAAAAAAAAAAAGGAAAAAAGAAAAAGGAAGAAATGGTTCCAGACCAATAGGACATCCATAGGCAAATACATGAAACTCAACCTAGGCCCCACAAGTCAAAATGGATCATGAACTTAAATGTAAAACATGTAACTCTAGGAGAACATCTTCAGTATTCAGAGCAGAAAGTTATTAGACTTGACACCAAAAGTACAATCTATAAAAGGAAAAATTGATAGATTAGAAATTTCTAAAATTTGCTCTGCGAAAAACCCGTTAGGGGAAAGAAAAGGTAAGCTATACATTGGGAGACAATATTTATAAACCACGTATCTGACAAACTACTAGTATTTAGTATATACAAAGAATGCTTTAAACTGAATAGTGAAAAAAGCAAACAACCCAGTTAGAAAATGGGCCAAAGATGTGAAAATGTATTCCACCAAAGAGAATATGCAAACAGCAATAGGAATATAAAAATGTTCAACATCATTAGCCATAAGAAAAATAAAAATTATAAGCACAATAAAATATTACTACCCACCTATCAGAATGGCTAAAATAAAAAATAGTAACACCACCAAATGATGGTGAGGATGCAGAAAAACTGGAAGACTCATGCGTTGCTGGGGGAATGTAAAATGGTACAGCCATTTGGGAAAGAGTTTGGCAATTTTTAAAACAACTAACCACACAACTACCATATGATGCAGCAATTGCACCCCTAGGCATTTATCTGAGACAAATGAAGAGTTATCTTTATGCAAAAACCTGTACAGGAATGTTTACAGCAGCTTTATTTGTATTAGTCAAAAACTGGAAACAACCTAGATGCCCTTCAGTACATGAACAGTTAAATAGTGATGCATCTGTATCATAGGATACCACTCAACAATAAGCCAGAACATGTTACTGGTACATACAACAACCTGGAAAATTCCCAGAGAATGATGCTGAGTGACATAAGCCAATCCCAAGAGGTTATATACTCTATGATTCACTTTATATAATATCCTTGAGATAACAAATTTATAGGAGTGGAGTATACAGTTGTGGTTGCCAGGGGTTAAGGGATGGGGCAGAGAGGTGGGTGTGGCTATAAAAGGACAACAGAAGGATCCTTGTGATGATGCAATGTCTGTATCTTGACTGTATTCATTCTAATAGTCTGGTTGTGATATTGTCTTATAATTTTGTAAAATGTGACCACTGGAGGAAACTGGGTAAAGGGTAAAGGGTAAAGGAGATCTCTATTATTTCTTAGAATTGCAGGTGAATCTATAATTGCCCCCCCAAATTTAATGAAAATCCCTGAAACAAACTAAAAAAAATGCTATTTTTGTATTTCTATATTTAATTACTATATATTTGAACATAAAAATAAACAACCTACTGGGAAAATGTTATTTTAACATAAATTACAAAAGATTATTATTATTGTAACATAATCTTAATGTAATCATTAATAATAGACAACTCAATAGAAAAATAAAAACTACAAACAAGCAATTTCCAAATTAAAAAAATACCAATGGCCAGAAAGTAGTGTGGCCATGAGTTCCACTTGCTTTCCTTCTGGGTTAGCAGCCATTTTCACTCTTAAAACATTCCAGATTGGACAATAAACTATGACTGTCTTACTAATAAACTGATAAAAACATGTTCACCTTCACAAGTAGTGAGAGAAAAATGAAAGACAAGTTATTTGCTAATTCTCACTGTTGGCAAGGGAGGGAGAAAGGTACATCTGATGTTCTCTGCTGGTGAAAGTATAAAATGATTCAAGTTCTCAGGAGGGAAACTTACCAGTATGTATTAACAACCTTTAAAAAAGTATATTCTCATGAACAGCAATTCCATTTCTAGAAAATTAGACAGGTATACAAAGATGTATGTTCAAGGATTTTCACTGAAATGTTGCATATACACTGAAAACAATCCAAATAGGGAATGTTCATTAATACATAAATAATGGTACATATCTACATGCACATCTGATGGAATGTTATGTAGCCATCTATATGTATAAATATAACAAGATATTAATATTAGCATATTTTGGAAAATGAATTACTTGTTAATGCTTATTTTCTTATATATATTATCCTGTTTTCTAAATTATTTTCAGAAGTCATATATACTATATATTAAAATAGAGCAAATCTATTTGAAAAGGATCCTGAGAAAACTATACCTAGAAGGTAAAGTTAGCCTAAAGGAGATTTAGTGATGCAAGAAAAATGTGGCATGTCACTTAAGGAAGTGACTTCCACAGGATTTGGCAATTACTTCTAGCACCCCAGAATATGGTTAAGGCAGGGCCTAGTCAGGCTGAAAAA